TTGGTACAGCAAAAGCCAGCTAAGAAATCCTAAGGGAAGAAGAGAGAAGGCTTTGTGCTGTGCAGGAATACTTCATTAAGGAGGTGGCAGTTGATCTGGGGCTGACTTTGATTAGCGGGGAATTGCAAAGGGAAGGAGTTTGTATCAGGTGATGCATATATTTAAACGAGTTTACTAAATCTTATTATCAATTTTTGCATTGGTGAAATAGATAGATCACACCTTCAGAAATGTTTAGATGACTTGTGAGATACTCTATGTTGAAGTACTCGATGTATTAAAAATAATAGATGTTTCAGTCTGCTCCGTTGCTAACAACAGAATTATCGGAATCTGAGTGATTTATAAAAATTACCACAGCTCATGGTTTCAAGGCCCATGGCGCCACATCTGTTAAGGCTTTTCTTATAGTGGATAACTTGGGCAGGGCAGAGCATGTCTGTGTCCCTGTGTCTCTGGTCTCCTTCTCCTACGCACCCTCTAGGAGTCAATCATGGGGCCTCCAAACTGGTGCCTAATCACTTCCCAAAGGCCTCCCACCTCTCAACACCATAATCAGATTCAGTCTGTGCTTCACAATACAACCAGATTCCAGCAAATTAATTCAAGGCTGGAGGTGCATATCAAACCATAGCAGTAGGCAGATGGTAGGTGACATTATCTGAAGCAAACTGCAGAAACTGAGTTGTAAACACAAGAGACTTACCTAAAGTGGCCAGTAATTTTAAGTGGATAGAACCTAAGGAAAAAATGTGTGTGTGTGTGTGTGTGTGTGTGTGTGTGTGATGCTTTTGTGCTGAGCCGATTGAGCATTTAGTTTGGGAGAGTAAGTTGGGAGTAGGTTCTGGAGGCAGGTGCTTTGAAATTTCTGAAAAGGAAGGGTACTGAACAGAAGTTTCCTCTAACCATAGTAGGGACTTGAGTTTAGCAAAGGTTTGGTGCCTTTAGGAACCGCAGGGACAAACATGAAGGCTCAGGTAACACATCCCATATCCCTTCTCTCATGAGTTGCCTTACAGTTAGCACGTATGTATGATGTGTCTGCTATGTGTCTGCTAGTGATTTAAGCACAGTGAAACCACGGTAACCAAGACAGATAGGATCTTTGCTCTTATAAAGCCTACTCTAGTGGAAAAACTGAATAAAAAAACAAAGGTGGAGGACCAGCAGTTAGTGTAATGGCTATGTAGCTGGACTCCCATGTAGTCGACCATGGTTCGCGTCCCCGACCCAGTGGCTTAGAACTCATGTCAGGCACGTATGCGTGCGTGCCCAAGATCCCAAGAGGAGAATGGAGAAGAAGGGATTGCAGCGTGGCCATCCACCCTGGGGGGTGATTTCTCACTTTTTGTATCTCTGTCTCTCTGTCTGTCTGGTGAGCGCACACGCCCTATAGCAAAAAGAAAAAAAAAACTGTCCAAAAAAAACAACAAAAACAAAGGTGGGGGTCCAGATAGTGGCACAGCAGTAATACATAATTCTGGAGACCTCCCTGAGTACACTAGGCACATATCTGCCTATGGCCTGGGACTGACTGAGGCTGGGGGAAAATCACAGATTTGGGACCCTGTTGCAGGTGCTCTCTCTCTCTCTGTCCTCTTTATTTCTATTGCTCATGGAAGAAATAAACTTTTACCAAAAATAAGTATAAGATATATATGATGGAAAGAAATGAAAGCAGAGTAAAATCAGAGTCAACTGCTGTGGTGGAGGTGAGGAAGAACAGTTGAGAGTCCACTGTGAGAAGAGTTGATTCCCCCTCCCTTTTATTTGCAAACTTTAAATTAAAAAAGTGCTGAAAATGGTTTTCATTAAAGAGAAGAAGAATCCGTATTCTCCAAGTAAAACTGTTTTAGCCGTTGTGATGGATAAGGATCATTTTGGAATCATGTTTCTGCCAAATGCCTGCTGATCTTAGCCGTTTTTAAAGAAAATTAACTGAAAGAGGATATAATCATTTAAAATACATGCTAGTATTTATAAGTTTTCCTTTCTCAAATAACTTCTGATTTCTCAGGTAATTTTTTAGAAAAAAAACATGTTTGGCATTGTCATACATTAGGAATGTTATCTCTCTTTCTTTTTAAAATAATTATTTAATTTAACTTTATTCATTGTCATTATTTTATTTATTTATTTATTTTTGAAGTTGACCAGAGAGAGACAGAGAAGTAAAGAAAGAAAAGAAAGCAAGCTGCCAGGTCTGGGACTTGAACTGCAGTTAGCCATGTGGGAGTCCAGCTGCCTTAACCAACATGCCACCTGCCAGCCCCGTGAGCTCGCTTTTAAGGGGGAAACATTTTTACTGCTTTCTGAATAATAAGGACAGTAAATCCTACTGAAAAAATGAATGTAGTATTAAAACATAGTTTTACACCCTTCAAAGAATAATTGCCTTAATGCTTTTGAGAATATCCTTCCCACACTTGCTGTCCATATTTATATTTTTTTTTAAATCTTCTCACTTTTTGTATACTCTTCTTTTTAATTTTTTCTACTCAACAACATACATAAACCTCTGATGATTTATGTACGTTTGTTCATAAAAATCTCTCTTTTCTTGGCTGCTAAGTAGAATTCAGTTGTCTGGATGAAGCATAATTTATTTAACCAGGTACTTACTTAATAATGGACATTTAATCCTCCCTCCCATTTTGCTATGATAATATAACCGTTCAATGAGATTTCTTGTGTAAACATTTAGATGTACTTTCTATTGTTACCTAAAGATATGGCTATTACATTCCATGTTAAAAAGATACTGCTATTGGGGCCATTAGATGTGTAGAGGTTACGTTACCGGACTCCCACATGACTGACCATGGTTCAAGTACTAGTGGGCTGAAAATCACTCCAGGCATGTGTGTGTGTGTGTGAACCCAAGATCCCAGGAAGAGAAGGGATTGTGGTATGGCCATCCCCCCAGGGAGGGAGGTGAATTCTCGTTTTCCCTCTCTGTCTCTTTGTCTCTCTCTGTAGCAAGCACATGCACCCTAAGGCAAAAACCTCTTAAAAATAAATAAGATACTGCTTTAAAGAGCAAAAGTAGAAGTGATTCCGTAGTGCAGCAGTTGAGCACTGCACCAAGGAAGCTAGATTCCAACCAGGGATCGAGTCCAGGCCCATCAGTAATACTGTGGATGATTGTGCTTATACCATGATCCTGAAGAGGTGGAAAATTAGAGGAGAAGGGGCTGCAATGTGACCAGGCCCTGTTGAGGGTGCTGCCCCCCTCCCTTCCTATGCACCCATACTTCTTCTGGCATAAAAATAATCATATACAAAGAATGTACATAAAAACTGATAAAATCTGAATAAAGTCTGTATCTGAGTTGAGGTATTGTACCAATGACAACTTCCAGGTTTTGATAATGTACTGTGGTTACGGACGGTATTATCATTAGGGGTGGCTGAATGAGGTTCTGTTTTTGTAGCATTATTGTGGGCCTTTAACTGTTTCAAAATAAAACATTATTTATGAATATGTAGCCAATTCAGGAAGGTTGTATCAACTTACACTTTTTTGGTTAAAGAATTATTTATTTAATTTGCAACTTACACTTCTATCAGTACTAAGTATATGAGTCTCTTGGCTGGTGGGCTGCCAAGAGCTGGAGTGCCAGAAAGCGACACACTGACTGTGGAAGAACTACTCCGTGTGGTCAAGATATTGGTTATTTACAAGGTTCTCACAAATAAGTAAATTTAAGGTATAAGTATGGAAAGCAGGAAGGCTAATATACAATGAGTTGTAATCAGAAGTACCAGTATGAATTTAGGGTCTCTGATTGTAGAGATAGTTACAGAAGTTGTTATTTGATTTTATTTGACTTCAGGAGGTGCGCATCTGTGTATATATTCACTGTCCGTTTTGTTTCTTCATAGTTGAGTTGCATTTTCCTTTGTCCATTTTTTTCTTGAGTCTACCTCTTCCTTACTGATTTGATAGAAGTCTTATGGTATGGAGTCTTACTGATGGTTCCTTTATTGGTGGCACTTTTTAATTAATTAATTAATTTTTTACTTTTTTTTGAGAGATTTTCGCTATAGGGCGCGTGTGCTCGCCAGACAGACAGAGAGAGACATAGAGACAGAAAGCGAGAAATCACCCCCCAGGAGGGGGAGAGATGGCCATGCCACAATCCCTTCTCCTCCATTCTCATCTTGGGATCTTGGGCACGCACACACACGTGCCTGGCATGAGTTTTAAGCCACTGGGTCCAGGATGCAAACTATGGTTGACTACGTGGGAGTCCAGTGACATAGCCATTACGCTAACTGCTGGTCCCGTGGCACTTCTATTTTTTATTTTTTTTTTAGAAAGAGATTTTTGCTGTAGGGTACATGTGCTTGCCAGAGAGAGAGAGAGACTGAGAGGCAGAAAGCAAGGAATCACCACCCCCCAGGAGGGTGAGAGATGGCCATGCCACAATCCCTTCTCCTCCATTCTCCTCCCGGGATCTTGGGTACACTCAGACGCTTGTGAGTTTTAAGCTTCCAGGTCTGGGATTTGAGCAATAGTCGACTATGCGGGAGTCCAGCAACATAACCGTCATGCCATCTGCTGGTCCTATTGGCGGCACTTTTTGCTAAACGTTTTATGAAGTCGATTTGTTCTTTTCCTGTATAATCCTGGCTTCGTCATGCTGTATTTCACTTCATTTGCTTACAAATCCATGGTATAGGAATTTAATGAGAGCCCAGCTAGATAATCCTAGTCTCTAAATAGCACCCGTGTTCACTCACCTGCATTCAGCTGGGCTGATCTGGAAGATCCACAAAGACTTCGTGCCTATGTTCAGGGCTTTGGTGGTCCTCCAGGTGTCACCTGTTTCTCCACATTGTTAGCTCGAGCTTACCAGTGGGGGGAGCAAAAGGTTGGTAGGTGGGATGTGTTAAAACAAGTGGTATATCAAATCCTAGCTACTCACAGTGGGAGTTTTGAGCTGCAACCTGATTTCCTCATTCTTTTCTTTTTCTTTTCTGCTTTGCTTTCTCAGGATACTCAACTTCCTCAAGAGATTATCATCAAGGTTGAGGGAGAAGATGCTGAGTCACCAGACATCCCATCCCAGGTGAGCAGAGCAAAACCTCTTTACGTTGAGAAATGTATATGGCTGGTTGGTAACAGAAGCTAGGTTGAAGCAAGCGGAGAAGTAAATTAAAAGGAGATGAGAGTGGACAACTTTTCCTCAAAATTTGGTTATTGTGGGGAAGATTGAAGAGAATGAGAACTGTGAGGAAATTGGAGATTGAGAGGCTTTTTTCTTTTTAAATTGAGAATATTCAGCCCTGTTTAAGTGATTACAAGGAATAACCATTATGCCATCTGCTGGTTCCAAGGATTTGGGGATTTTGCGCTACAAAAGATCAGGTGAGCATGAGAGTAGAAATTGGATTGGAGAGATGTTTGACAAGGGTAGAGAAGACTTAAGATAGTAACTTGGGATTATTGTTCATTTAATTCTCACAAGGCTCCTGTAAAAGAAATATATTAGCAGCACCATTTTTCATATAAAGAAAAAGAAGTCAGAGGAATTAAGACATATATCTAAGGTTGTAGCTGGGGTGTAACCTCTAGTTTGCATGAGAGAAGGAGCTGTGCCAATAGGTATAAGATGGTTGCTGTAGACTGAAGGGATCATTCAGAGCCAGTGACCACTGTTTTATCATATTTTAACCAGCTCCCCAAACCCCTCGCCATGGCATTGTGTAGCCCACTTTCTATACATAAGGTATCAACATTTGAATGTATTTAGTTTTTATAATTTGGTCCATGTCCTGTGGTGTGAAAGCTCTATAGGTCAAGGGAATATTTGAAAGAAAATGTTTAAGAGTATCAAATAGAAAGATTAAATGAATAATTCACGGACTCTAAACCAAGAATTAAGATGGACGCGGTAAAGAAACTGGTAAATAGAAAGGGAGAGAACGTAGACTGGTGGGGCCGGTGGGTGGTGTGGTTAAGGCACTGGACTCCCACATGGTTGACTGTGGTTCGAGTCCTTGACCTGGTAGCTTGTTTTCTCACTCTCCCTTTCTGTCTCTCTCTCTCTCTCTGGTCAAATTGAAGAATAGCAATAAATCAAATTAAATAAATCATTCTGTTTTTAAAAATAAAGAACATAGACTGGTATACGAGGAGACCTCAGAAAGACTATGGAAAATGGAATTAAAGTACAAGTTAATTTTGGTGCCAAAAAAATTAAAATCCATGCATAGTTTTTTTAATTTTTTATAAAAGAATAATTTAATTTATTATTATTATTATTTCTAATTTGCTATAGGGAACTTGTGCTGACCAGAGAGAGAGAAAGTGAGAAAACAAGCCACTACGTTCAGGACTAGAACTGTGGTCAGCCATGAGATGGCTGAGTGCCTTAACCACCGTGCCACCTGCTGGCCCTTCATAGCTTTGTTGTAGTACATATCTTTCATGAACTTTGTGGCAACCCTTTGTATAGTAAAAATAGACATTTTGATAGTATAATGGCCTGAAACCATGGCAGAACAAGAAGAGTAAAGGGAGAAATTGAGCCAGTACACTGGAGCAGTCGGTTATATCAAAACATGGGCAATGTATGTGTGATTCAAAAAGTGGAGTATTTTATGGTGATTCAAGGTCTGGTTGTCACCCTAAGAATGAGCCATTAAAGAGCAGTTCTTGGGGGGCCAGCAAGTGACATTGTAGTTAAAATGCTGGACTTCTACAGGGCCTACCATATTTGAGTCCCAGACCTAGTGGCTTAAAACTCATATGGGACATGTGTGCCTATGTCCAAAATCCCAGGAGGAGGATGAAGGAGAAAAGATTGCACTGTCACCATACCTATCCCTGGGATGCGATTTCTCACATTCTCTCTTCTCTGATGAGCACACGTGCCCTATAGGTTTTTTTTGTTTGTTTTTTTTTTGTTTTTTTTTCTTTCTTTTAAAGGCAGTTCTAGGACATGACAGTTGGGCTAGCCTTTTCAATTGATGTCTGAGAACACAGTCAGACATGGTGCAAAGTGGAAGTTACATCCTTAGGCATATGTCTTAATTTCTCTAACTTTCTTGTTCTTCATGTGAAAAATGGTGCTGCTAATAGTGTTATCTTATAGGAACCTTTTGAAAATTAAATGAATGCTAATCTACGTGACATCTGGGCACATTGCCTGATAGCACAGTGATGCTTCCTAGGAATTTTAAGTACTTTATTAAAGTTAATTATTTTTATGTTTTTGTTTTTATTTTTGTTTTGGGGGGGTGATATTTTTGCTATAGGGCACATACACTCACCAGAAAGAGACAGAGAGACAGAAAGTGAGACATCACCCCTCAGGGGGGATGGTAATGCTGCAATCCCTTCTCTTCCATTCTCCTCTTGGGATCTTGGGAACACACGCACACATGCCTGGCGTGAGTTTAAGCCACCAGGTCCAGGACTTGAACTGCAGTCGACTACATGGGAGTTTAGCGACATAGCCATTATGCCAGCTGCTGGCCCCAAGTTATTTTTATGTTATTATCAGATAAGTATACAAGTAGATGCTATAGGTAACACAAGACAATACAAGTTTTTTTTGTTAGAGGGTAAATCTTAGGTGTGAATCTTCAGCAGATGAGAATGGTGATATACGGGAAGTTGGTAGGACAAAGTTCCAAAAGTGAGGTAGATGGCCCGAGTTTCAGTGTAACTGAGAGGGCACAGGCTTCCCTCTTTGATGCTTAGATCTCTGAGATGGGAAAGCACTATTATCCTTAGCCTGTGAGAATTTCAGAGAGGGGAATATAACGGATGGATGAATAGGGAGTATTTGGTGAAGGATATGAAGCCATTAGAATTTCATTATAATATGAGATAAAATCTGAAGGCACAGTTGAAGAGTTTAAGAAGAAGTGTTGAGAAGTAGAGACTTTGGGACAGGAGAGGAGGATTAGAATAACTGGCATGAAAGTCAAAAAAAACCAGTGTTTGTATGTTGAAGGACTTTTTCACATGAGTATGTGATACACCTGCTAAGATTTAGGTGAGAGAAAACAACTTAAATCAGAATTTGAGCCAGGGTTATTTTTCTTTATTAGAAAGTATATTGATACCAGGGCCAGCAGGTGGCATGATGTTACGGTGTTGAGCTCCCACATGGCTGACCGTGGTTTGAATCCTGGGCCTTGCTTTCTCTCTCTGTCTCTCTCTGGTAAGCACATAGTATATAGGATATCTTATAGCAAATTGAAAAATAGTAACAATAAATAAAATTAAATAAAAAATTATTAAAAAATAAAGTGTATTGATATCATGGATTCACTTATTGAAATAATTTCCAAAGTATGCAATACCTGTATACATTAACACTATGCTAAGCACTAGAGTTATAGTTATTAATTATAAATACTTTGTCCCTGCCTTCATGGATCATGGCCTTGTGATACAGGTGCCCATTATGCAAATAATGAGAAGTAAGGTGAATCTTATGATAGAAGTTAATGGAGCTCTGAGGAGAACATATATGCAGGACATGGAGCTAGTATTATTTATTTGACATTTGAACAAGCTCTGTACTAAAGGCACCTACATTACACAGCAAAGGGGAATGTGTATTAAAAGGAAGCATGGGGACTAGCAGTTGGTGTAATGGCTGTGTCACTTGGACTCCCATGTAGTCGACCACAGTTCAAGTCCCGAACCCGGTGACTTAAAACTCACAACAGGCATGTGTGCATGTGTGCTGAAAATCCCAAGAGGAGAATGGAGGAGGAGGGATTACGTGTGGGCATCCCCCCTTGGGGGTGATTTCTCACTTTCTCTATATCTCTCAGGCAAGCACAAGCACCCTATAACAAAAACCTCTCTACAAAAAAAGCTTTTCACAAGGGCCACCAGGTGACATGGTAATTAAGATGCTGGACTCCCATGTGACCAAATATGGTTCAAGTCCCAGACTTGGCAGCTGGAAACTCACACCTGTCACATGTATGTTCATACCTAAAATTCCAGGAGGGAAATAGAGGAGAAAGGATTGTGGCATGCCCCCGCATGGATGATTTCTCACTTCCCCTTTCACTGTCTTTATCTGTTTCTCTCCAGCAAATCCACACAACCTATGTCCAAACCTAAAAAAAATTAATAAATAAGGGGGAAAAAAGCTTTTCACATATGAGGATACTTTGAAAAGTTCATGGGAAAATGCAATTAAAATTATGAGTTTATTGGGGCCAACAAGTGGCTTGGTGGTTAAGGCGCTGGACTCCCATGTGATCTTTGATGGTTCGAGTCCCAGACATGGCAGCTTCCTTTCTCACTTTCCTCTCTCTTGCTTCATCTATTTCTCTGTGCTGAGCACATGTGCCCTATAGCAGATTAAAATAATAATAACAATAAACAAAAATAAATAATATGGGTTTTTTTGAGAGGTTTTTACTATAGGGTACATGTGCTCACCAGAAAGACAGAGGAAGACAGAGAGACAGAAAGCAAGACATCACCCCCGGCGGGATGGCAATGCTGCAGTCCCTTCTCCTCCATTCTCCTCTTGAGATCTTGAGCACACACGTATACATGCCTGACATGAGTTTAAGCCACCAAGTCCGGGACTTGAACCATGGTCGACTACATGGGAGTCCAGCAACATAGCCATTATGCTAACTGC